AAAAAAAAAAAAAAAGTGAATACGAGGGGCCAGCAGGTGGCATGGTAGTTAAGGCGCTGGACACCCCCACATAGCCAACCACGGTTCAAAACCTGGACTTGGTGGCTTGCTTTCTCACTTTCCCTCTCTCTCTGTCTCTCTCTCTGTCTCTGTTTCTCTGGTCAAATTAAAATAAATGAATGAATGAATAAATAAAATCTTAAAAATTCTTTAAAAAAAAAAAAGTGAATACGAGCTGGCAGGTGGTGTAGTGGTTAGAAGTGCTAGAGTGCAACATGACTGACCACGGTTTGGGTCCCAGACCTGGCAGCTTGCTTTCTCACTTTTTCTCTCTCTCTCTGTATCTCTCTCTGGTCCAAATAAAATAAGTAGATGAATAAATAAATTAAAAAAAAATTCTAAAAAACCTTTTTAAAAATTATTTACTTATTTAATTCCATTTGTTATTATTATTATTTAATTTGACCAGACAGAGAGAGAGAGAAAGGGAAAGTGAGAGAGTTAAAGCTTTGTGAACTATAACACACCAGGAAAACACAAGATATTATTTATCTTCAATAAACGGTAAAACAAGAAATCATTTTTCACCTTAATTTTTGGATATATTTGGCGCAGAGAATCTGCTGTTCCCATGTCAGCCTCATCTGGAATGCACACAATATCTGCCTTCATCTTCATCTTGAACTCTGCACTTAGAGCCTTTTGGACATCTCTGGTTGTAACCACAATGACTTCTATAGCACAAAGAAAAGAAAAAAAAAAAACAAAAAAACACAAAAACTCATTCATTTAGACAATGATTTCACTATTTCAATTAGACATGGCCTTTTTTCTAGGTGTAATAATAACTGCTAGTAATACTGAGGCTTTTTGATGTGTTTTACATGTCTTCTCTCAATTCTTACAACAATGTCATTTTACAAACAAGAAACCTTAGACTAATAGACACTACATGACTTTGCTTAGGATGACACAACTAGTAAACACTAGACCTAAGATAAAACTCAGGCCTGTATGAGTGCCGGCTGGCACTGTAACTAATATGTTGTGGAGAGTAGACAATTTGAAAACATGTGGCCTAAAGACATATGCAGACATGCGCTTTTGTAAGCTACTCTAGCAGGGCTATTAAGAAGCATTTATATATGAAAGCAGTACCTATCTGTTGTCAATGGCTGTCTTTTCACTTTTTTTGAAACTTAATGCCTCGATACTGCCCAGTATTAGGCTAAAGGAAGTCATAAGCCTTTTTTAGATTATTTCACCAAAAGGATTTGTGAAATTATATGGTGCCAGTCATTTTTATATTTTTAGTCAATTTACATCCTAAACCAACTGGCTTTGTATTCTAATTTTACCTCCTTTATTCTCTTTGCATTTCACTTTTTCCCCCCCTTTTTTTTACATTTTAGTTTTTCCTTCCCCCATTTTTTGCCCTTTAAAAGAATAAACCTGAGGCTGGTTATGGTTGCAATTTCTCTACTAGAGAAGTTGTGCCCACCCGATCCTTACTTTTTTATACTTGTGTGTTTTTTTATACTTGTGTGTCTTTGTGTGTTTTGTTATTGCATCTATTTTTAATTTGCAGCCTTTTTTACTCAGAGAAACGTGTATATGCTGAGCTGGACTTGGCAGAGTAGTGCCCAGTGTGGGGCATAATGGGTTACATTTATCTGCCAAATATGATTGGGGGCCAGGCCCCTGGGGTTGACTCTTGTAGGAAGAGAAGGCAGGAAAGGAACACAGTTTGGACAATTTTTAACAATGTCACGTGCCTGTTATCTAGTGAAAGAAAATTGTTTGTGTAAGGCAGCAGCATTTTGGTGAAAAAGGTTATGTGATTGCTGTGCCTGTGTTTCTTGGAGTGTCTGAAATAACAGCAGTGAGCTGTGCATCAGCTTGGTGGTTACTAAATGTAAGAGCACCAGGGAGGCTGGTGTGAGATTTAATGTGGCAAATGAAAAGTGGGCAGTTTTGTCTATGTATTAAATTTTGGATAATGGAGAAAGTATGGAAAAGACTTTTTTGAGAAATGTTTCCAAGAATAGCAGTTTTAATTTTTTTAATAACAGAAACCACATAAAGACTATTAGAATAAATGTTTAAAGGTTGATGCTAAAAGTCTGTTAACACAGCTTCTACTGCTTGAAGTTCTGCTGGCTGTGCAGAACAACGTGGGTTAGATATGACCCTTTTTTATTTTGTGTTTAATATCCAGCACGCCCATTAGGCCATATGTTTTAATCACATATTTTCAGATTGGCTGCTCTCCACAATATGTTATATCCCACTTTTTCTTGTTGTCAAAAATGCAGAAGAATATGGGACCAGCAGTTAGTGTAATGGCTATGTCGCTGGACTTCCATGTAGTCGACCGCAGTTCGCGTCCCGGACCCGGTGGCTTAAAACTCACGCCGGGCACGTGTGCGTGCATGCCCAAGATCCCGAGAGGAGATTGGAAGAGAAGGGACTGCGGCGTGGCCATCCCCTCTGGGGGGTGATTTCTCGCTTTCTGTCTCTCTGTCTCTCTCTGTCGAGCGCACGCACCCTTTAGCGAAAAACCTCTCAAAAAAAAAAAAAAGCAGAGTAATATTATCAAAGCATACAAATGAGACCAAATTTTAAATATACATTTGGTGCAAAAAATGAACTATTACCACTTTCTACTAAGAAGTCATTGGTTTGCTTCATCAAAGATCACAATGAATCCTACTAAGAGGTAATTTTCATATAACAGACTGTCTTCACCTTATCTATGGAACTATGAAACAATGACAGAAAACCTGGGGTTTTGGAGCTAGCAAGTGGTGTGGTGGTTAAGGTACTAGATGCTCCTACATGGCCGACCATGGTTTGAGTCCCAGACCTGTTGGCTTGCTGTCTCAATTTCCCTCTCTCTCTGTCTGTGTCTCTCTCTCTGGTCAAATTAAAATAAATGAATGAATAAATAAAATTAAATAACAATTTTTTAAATAAAAAAGAAATTCTGAGGTTTTGTCATGAATCTTTGGTGAAATAATATCTACTACAATATAACATGCTGATATCTGAAGATCTGTTTTAGCTTCTCTCTGACAATTCCCACTTATTCCATGATAGTGCTCCAGGTCACAATTATCCCTCCCTTTCACTATATTATTCTTCCCTCTTCTATAGTCCCTTCTCGTCTTTCTTCCTCTCCTCTATTCACATCATTTAACCTTCCTTTTCTATCTTTTCTTTTCTCCCCATACCTTGTCTTTTTTTTTAAGTCACTAACTCGTTCACTCATATAACAAACACAGTCAAGGGAAGACTTTGCAGAAGAGATAGCCTTAGAGGGAGGCTATGATCAATTCAAGTTCAACAAAAATTTTTTTACTGTATATAAAATGCTAACATTATAAAAACGAATTAGACATAGCACCTGCTCTTATGGAGATCACATGCCACTGATTACAATATAAAATGGTCCTGGAGAAGTGCTGAGATAGAACAAAGTGTGACAGAAGCACAAAAGGTAGAGTGATTAATGCTGTATGGGATTTCAAAGAGATGACAGTTCCATAGGTTAGAGACAACATTTCAGGTAGAGTAGACAAAGTAAAGGAAGTAACAACAAATATGGGACAATTAGCCTACTAATTGAATCAGGATGTTTTCTTGTAGTAAAAACTAAGAAAGCCTTAGTTTTCATTTCTTTCTAGGGCCAGCACCATGGCCTAGTGGTTAGGGCAGCTGGATCCTACATGGCCAGCAACACAGTTCAAGGTTAGAACCCAGTGGCTTAAAAAACACATTGGGTATGTTTACACACACGCCCCAAAATGAGGTAGAAATGAAGGAGAATGGATTCCAGTGACCATGCCCTGTGGGGGGGTTCTTTCTCATTTTCCCTCTTTCTCTGGCAAGCATATGCCCTGGCAAAAAACAAACAAACAAAAAGCTCTAAATAATTATAAACAATATGAAAACAATGAACACAGGCTTAGCTATTAAACTCTAGAATTATATGTTTAGGAGAAACTTCGCAAATTCTGAATGAGCCTCAGTGAGAATTCACTGTCCACATAGTGGATATTAAATACATCACAAAAGGTAACTCCTAAGCATGAACTAAAGATATACCAAAAGTAAAAAGTTAAAAAAAAAAAAAAAAGTTACAGATGATAAACCCATGAAGAGTTACTAAAGGAGGGAACCAGCAGTTAGCGTAATGGCTATGTCGCTGGACTCCCACGTAGTCGACCGCAGTTCATGTCCCGGACCCGGTGGCTTAAAACTCACGCCGGGCGCGTGTGCGTGCGTGCCCAAGATCCCGAGAGGAGAATGGAGGAGAAGGGATTGCGGCGTGACCATCCCCCCTGGG